GGAGATAGGAATAGAAAATACTTAGAAGCTTGCATATCACTTGGCATGTGATAAATCAGCCTTAAGACACAGAAATGGTGATGACTGCAAATCCCAAAGTAAGTCAAGCTCAACCACATATTCTGAGTGAGCTCTGGGCTAGTAGCCACTGTGGAAAAACAAAAAGTTGAGTCTGTCCTGCGGAGACATGACGCGGAACCAGGAGGCAGGGGTCATAGCGTAAGTCCTCAAGCCAAACCAAGGAGCCTGAACTTCATCTTCAGGGAAATTGGGAGCTGTGGAAGTAAAAGGCCCCAAGTTTTAGTAGAGTTGAGGGAATGCAGGCCTGTGGGGACAGGAGACGTTGCTTCTCTTGCTGCCAAACCACCTGTCATCTTACTGGCTCCTTAAGTCCTGGCAGAGAGAGAGGCTGAGGGATGGCAAGAGACGGAGACAGACAGAGGCAGGGAGAATAGCAAAGAAGCTGAGTGTGGGCTTCTCTGTAGCAGAGCTCGCTTTCTTGCTCTCTCTGCCAGCCTGTCTGAGAGACTGGCAGAGCCCCCAGCCCACTTTAAACTACCCCAGGCAAGGTTGCCGAATAATTCTCACTGCCTCCAAACGGCGCTCCACGTGGTAGCCAAGAGCCTGCTGCCAAGAGGCAAGTGGCCAAGATTCCCTTCCAACAGAGACATCCCCTTGCCAATCAGAACCCGGCCTGCACACATCTAGTAAAATCAGACTGTTTGCAGTCAGCCAAGCGGATGACATGGTCAGGACTTCTCGACCCTGCCCACTGCCCGCCTCCAACCCCAAAGTCTCCCAACAAGGAAGAAGGTCCACACCCCAAGGTCCCAAGCACCTGCCCCCTCCACGTTTAACCTCCAGGATCCATCTGCTGAAATCACAGCCTCTGGAGTCAAAATGCACAGGTTCAAAGCCCAGCCACTCCAACTGAGCAGCTGTGCAACCTGGGGCAAGTCACCTAACCTCTCTGAGCCCCATCTGTGTCCACATAGTGGGGTTCATTAACAGTTTCTGCCTCAGAGATTTGTGAGAGGGCTTAAATGAGATCATATATGAAAAGTGCTTTTCCAACACCTGGCATTTAGTCCATGCTCAATGAATGTTCATTTGGGGTATCTATAATCTGGAACTGAGCTAACTAACAATATCAGCTATCCAGAATGGGGCTAGGGACCAGACGATTTGCAGAAAAAGCCTCCAAGCAGTTAAAATAAATGGCAGAGCCAACACAGGGAATGTCCAATCATGAAAACCACTTTATATAATACTAGTAATATTATGGTCCTGTAATTAATATTATAGTAATATAGTACTCAGGAACCACTACTTCTAAGCTTTGGGCATGGAGATTTAAATACATTTTGTCATTTAACCAGTGGCGTGCTGGTAAATGCTTAACAACCAGTTCTCTGGAAGAAAAGGAGTTCTGATGTGTATCATTTCTGTGGTGTAAACTCCCCCCACTATGGTCAACTTCTAGCTCCCACTGTGCCGTCACTATACCTGGGGATGGGAAGGGAGGCTAACAGTGGGTTCCTATCAGCCAGCTCTGGTCACCACTGCATTAACCTGCCCCATTTCCCTATGAGATCAGTGCTATGATAGCCCCATTTTCTAGACAAGGAGAGCAAGGCTCAGGGACACATCCTTGCCTGATTATGTGGTGAGCAAGCTGCTGCAGCACTAGGATTCAAATACAGGTCTATGGATTGCAAAGCTCCTGCTCTCTGCACTTGGCCCAGCCCCCAGCCCTCGATGGCACAACAATACTGATTTTTTGGTAAAGAAAGGTGATAGTGAGTGTGTGTCTTCCCTCCCAAACTCATGCCCACCTCTGTTCAATCTGGAGGCCACTCTCCTGGTGAGGTCTCTCTGGTTTGGTTCTGCAGACCCTCCTGCTGTCCCACCTGCCATGCCACAATCCCCCTCCCTAGCCATGACCTCCCCACCCCAGACAGCCAGACACCTTTATAAGATCTTTAAAAAGTCATCTGTATTTCATCAGGATTTCAGTTGATAAAAGAGGATGGGGAAAAAGAAATCAAATCATATATGATATCGCAAGCTAGATACCACTGATTTGCTGTTAATGCTTGCACAGAGTTAGCAAGCCTATGGAGAAGGGACTGAGTGAGGGAAGGACAAGGAAACACAAAGTATTGCTTTATTTTCATTTTACTTTCATTAAGTGAAGCTGGGCACCTTTCTCGTGCTGTCAGTTTTCTCAAACCATTGTGTGGCAATGTCAGATTCCACTTACTGGAATGTGTGTCTGGGCACGTGTGACCACCCACTGTGCCAAAGGGTGGAGGCCAGCATGTTTCCTAATGAACAGCTGATAGGCCCACATCCCCCACATCCTCACCTCCACAAACAGTCCCTCAAGACACAGGGGCCATGTCTGCAGCATCTGCCTGTCCTCTCCACTTCCCAGATTTTAATGCGCACAAGAATCACCCAGGATCTTGTGGAAGTATAGAGTCTGACTCCAGAGGTCCAGTGTGGGGCTGAGTCCCTGCATTTCTTAACAGGCATTCGGGTGATGCCAACGTCACCAGTCCATGGTGGACCACACTTCAAGTAGCTAAGGTCTAAATCCGAAGCACTCAAATCCCTAAATTGCTTGTAGGCCCCCAACGTTCCTCTGTGTCTCAAGGTTTTCTAAATCCCCAAAGCAATTATAGCTTGACTCCTAATCACAAACACCTCAAAGTTTGCCCCAATCCATGTGGGTCTCTCACGGTCACTCTCTGTGACTGCCTTGTCTTGTACCAACTCCTATTCAACAAATACCGAGCCCCCAGTCAATACCAGGCCGGCGCCGCTGCTGGGAATATGGAAAGACCCAATCCCTGCCAGATAGTCTCCTTCATTTGTCAGGAAAATGCCTAAAGTCTGTGAGCTCTGTTTCCAGGTAGTAATAACAGCAGACACTTAGGTAGTACTTTTAGCATGTACAAGGGACTGTTCTAAGAACTTTATAAATATTAACCCTTTTAACCCACCCTGGGCAGTAGGTCCAGTAATTAACTTCATTTTACAGAAGAGAACCAAGGTTCATGGAAATGAAGTCATCTACCTGAAAATGAAACTATTTACCCCTCCCTCCCCCAGGAAAAAAAAAGTTATATATTTGGGACTAAAGGATACTCTTGCATAGTATCATGAACTTGACCGTGGCAGGCAAGTGGGTAAGTTGTTATACCTGACTGGGGCAGAGAGGCTTGAACAGGGAGAAGGCTTATATAATTCAGGACTCTTGGTTGTAAGCAGCAGAATCGCAACTCAAAGCATCTTAAGCATCAAAGGGAAACTGTTGCTCACATATCTGAACAATGCAGGAGTAGCTTCAGGCATGGCTAGATCCAATAGCTCAAACAAGATTGGCAGGTTTTGATTTCTCTCTCTTGGCTCTGCTTCCCTCTGTCCTCTGTTTCTCTCACCATGGCTGGCTTCCCCAGTGATTTGGGGAACATAGCTGCTGGCAGCCCCAGGGTCACATTCTCCCAGAGGAAAAAGGACTTTTCTCCCTGTCACGTTCGTTTATAAGTCACAGGGAAGTTTTGTTGGAATGCACCCACATCCAAGCATGTACATACTATCCACGGTTGCTTTCCTGTTACAATGGCAGAGATGAGTAGTTGGAACAAAAACCATGTGGCCCATAAAGCATAAATGTTTACTATCTGCCCATTTCCAGGAAAACCTAGTTTAGACTGCAACAGTAACAACAATAACACTTAGCTAACATAAACTGAGTACACTGTATATACCAGATACAGTTAGTTCTAAGCACTCGTTTGTCTCTTAAAACAATGCATTGAGGTGGGAAAACTAAAACCTGAAGGGGTTAAGAGCAGTCAAGCTCAAGGTCGGGCAGCCAGCAATCAGGAGAACTGGGTTTTGAATTCAGCAGCATGACCTCAAATCCCATACTCTTAACAGCTCTGCTAATCAAACAAGGATCTTCTGGAAGCTTGAGTAGGTAGGTTTTTCTAAATCAGGGTGTGATTTTTCAACTACTGGTTCAAGAAACACACATACGTGAACTTGTATTTTCTAAAGTATAAATGCTAAAGCAAATGGTGAATCCCACATAGAGCTCCCACTGCTTGTGAGCTGTTTACTGTTGCCCCATCAATGCTCTGATGGACAGAAGTGTCCCATTGAACCATTGGGGTCTCCCAGCGGGCAGAGGGGCCCGAAACCCCATGAGCTGGCTGAGACTTTATGTCCCAAAAGTAGGGGCTTTAATGCCACCTGAGTCCAACATGAGCACCGGCCCTTGCCCACTGAGGGCCCCAGGCAGGAACTCCAGAGATAAACCCACCTCTTTTGAGATGGGGTCTCACCAGGTCCCACCACAGAATTCTGAGGAGCCCCCGAACCTCTGATGTTTCTCGTTAATTTGTAAAGCTCTGCCTAGGAAGTTGCTGGGGCAGCCCCAAGGATCAAGTCCTGCCTTCAGTGGGTCCCTGGGACACTTTGGGCTGGGGAGGATAGAGACCCTTACTGCCAGGAGAGGGAAGCAGGAGCTGGTGGTCAGAAGCATGTCCCATGTTCAAAAGAAAGTTCACGGCTTCTTAGTCTTGGATTCAAATTCTGATGTTGCCACTTAGCAGCTCTGTGATCGTGAGCTAGGCGGTTCCTCTCTCCGAGCCTCAGTTTCCCCCTCTGTAAAATGGGTGCGATGGTAACCCTCCCCCCCCAACTGAAGGGTACCTGTGACTTTAAGAGATAACTTATAGTAAGCGTTTGGCACAGCATATGAAAGCTAAGAGAACCGGCTTTGCAGCCAGACTGGCTTAGCTTCAAATCCTGTCTATACTACACTGCTGTGCAAACACTACTTTGCTGAACCTCAGTTTCCTGATCTGTAATGGGAATCAGTGTAGATAGAACTTGCCTCTTGGGGTTGTTGTGAGGATTAACTCAGCTTATGGGTGGTTAGGACTGACACAGTAAAATGCTCAGCAGCTTTAGCTTTTTTTTTAGACCATCAGATGGGTAATTGCTGAGGTTGTAACAAGGTTTGAGGTAGGCACATGTCCCACGGCAGCGTGAACACCCGATCATCACACTTATGAACTACAGAAGGATCAGCTTTAGCTTTTAAAGATTACCTTCAACCAAGGCACGTAAGATGATCTTATGATCATCTTAGTAATGCAGTATACCTTTACTTTCTGAGCTAAGGGTAACACGAACTGGCCTCTGGGAAGACTGTCCCAGTCCCTGGGGAACTGATCCAGTGTTCCAGGGCCCTGATGCTGGGGGAGCCAGCCCTGCAAATACCCCAGCTCCACACAGCTCCCTGCTACTGAGGTTTGGGGCCAGGTCCCCAGGGCAGACATCCTTCTAATTGGGTTTCCTGCATCAGTGCCTCCGGGGCTGTGTAGACATAACTGATGGGGTGCCCTGCATGGGGTCTCAGAGCCAGGAAAAGGTGGGTCTGCCCGGTCCCTGGACATGGCCAAGTCCTCTAAGGGCCTGGCCCAGGTTTCTCACCTCCAGCCCACAGGACTCTGAGTTCCAATGGCATACCTACCCCCTGCAGACCTGACATCCCTTGCGGAGGCCATCTCAGATCTCCCATGGCCAAGAGGGAACCCTGGGCTCCTGCCTGCTCCCCACCCTTTCTTCCAGTGTCTTCCCCATCTCAGGAAAAAGTGGCATATCCATTCCAGATGTTCAGGCCAGGAGCCTGGGAGGCATTTCCATTCACTCCATTCTGCCACATTAAATCATCCACCAGTGAGCACCATTAGCTCCACTTTTCGGGAAGCCCAAATCGTTCGCCACTCCCAACCAGCCTCCTTCTGGCCACCTGCTTGCCCCCATAATGCTGTTTCAGAGGGATCTCCAATAACACTGTCAGATGGCATTACTTCTCTTTGTACCCCTCTGTCAGCTCTGTGGGCACTAAGTCAAAAACCCAGACCCCCTGTGTGGCTAAGGAGGCCTATACAGCCTGGTGTAGCCTTGCTCTCCCCCTGCGTCTCCAACCCCCAATGGCTCTGGTCACACGAGCTTTCAGTCCTGCAGCAGCCCTCCCTGATATAAGCCACACACACATGCACGTGCGCACACACACACAAACCCAGACACACAGATATTCACAGAGGTAAGAAGTACACACCCAGACACATCCCACACTACCCAGACACACATGCTTCTTCCCATGGCAGACTCCTTATATTTCATGATCCATTTAATAACCCCCTTGCCCTGCTGCTCTACCATGGCACATTGTTGATTTGCTTTGCAGGATCACAATTTGTGATTCTTTTACCCTATTTGTTTATGTGCTTCTTATTGGTCCCCCCAGCCCCCTTCTAGACTATTCATGCCATGAGAGAACTTTTTTTGTTGTTGTTCATTGCTGTATTCTTAGTACCCAGCATACAGTAGGCACTTTATAAGTGTTGAAGGAAGGAAGGAATAATCCCCTAATCTCTTTTCTATTTTAGTAAGGGGGCTGCACTTGCATGCTTGTCTATGGGTTAAAGTGTCCCGGAAAAAAACAAACAAATGTGGAGCAGCCAAAAGGGGGTTAGAAGTTCAGGAGACTTACCATTCACTCTATGCTTATCTTTAATGTCTCAGTTTAAAAGATGACGTGTATACCGCTTATAGAAAAATGTATCTTTGAAAATTAATCTTTTAAAATAGGATACTCCTGCAGTTCTCCAAGCTGGCTCAGCATCCTGGCTGGAAAGGCCAGGCTGGGTTCCCAGGTGGGTGCTGTCAACATCTTTTTAGGTAGGAGTGAGGGGTCCAAACAGCAGCTGGGTTTGAGAGCCGGGGGTCTGTATCGCTCTCCCCAGCCTGAGGAGAAGGGGCTGGGGTGGAGGCCTCACATGGGTCCCATTTCCTGTGCCCCCTATCTTCCTGGCCAGCCTGTGTGCCAATGTTCCTTCATTAAGTTTGTCTAAGGCTGGATGTTCCTGAAGCCACACAGCCAGCTGTAGGAATCGAGGGCACAAGGACAGGGATTGCAGTTTGACAGTTTTTCCTCGACTCTTCACAGGAATGGATGCTGAAGAGACTGGCCTATAATCACAAAGTCTGTCCTCATACCATTTCTTTTAAATAGAAAGTTATACATTACACATAGAGCCCTGATCAATATCATTATCTCAAAAATTTCCCTTATCCTGAAGGATTTAAAAATATTTTGCAATGAGATTCACGGATCCCCCAGACCTCAGTCTTGCTACATCCTCATGTGGGTGCTCCAGGCTTTTAAAATGGCTCTTCCGGGGCGCCTGGGTGGCTCAGTTGGTTGGGCGACTGCCTTCGGCTCAGGTCATGATCCTGGAGTCCCTGGATCGAGTCCCGCATCGGGCTCCCTGCTC